GTCTTTTCTCTTTGCAACTGGAGTCAAGTTGATTTATCCACAAGACAAATTTTCCCCTGGGTAGAAAACATGATTTAAGAAATTAGCGGAAGGGGCCGGGGAGGACATTACTAAGCCAAATGGTGGAATCTATTAATTTTTCTTTTCCCAAATGTCATGTTTCCTTTTCTGGCAAACTGGTGGTGATCAATACTTTTGAAATGACCTTGAACAGGATTGAGTTACTGCATTGGCTGCCACGACTGTGGGCTTGAACAATTTTTACTACTTAGAGGAATAATATTTAGAAAATGTTCAGCATGTTGAAATTGAGCCCTCTGCTTTGTCCTTTTTACAAACTTCTGTTTTTGTACTGAGCGCTTACCCAGACCTGGCCTGGCATTTTCAATGTGAGATGATACCGCCCCTTAGTGGAGAAAGTACTTAACTGCAAGCTTTTGCATCTGCCCAAAGAAAAGCTCCCTGTTTTAGCAGAAATAATGTTATCAATTCAGTCACTTTTTAAAACTAAGCTACTTGTCTACTTTTGAGGAGTCTTAGGAGGATTAAATGAGATAATCTGGGGGCCACACTTAAAAGTGCGGGATTGACACTCAGTCAAAAAAGTGCGGGATTGACACTCAGTCAACAGCTGCTATTATTGTGGTTATCTGATAATGAGGATTTTTGAAGGCAGGGGACTGAGTGAAGTACGTTTTCAAGGCTTCAGAACTTCAGTGTCAGCTCCGATAGCTACTAGGAGAGGCGGCTGAAGAGTAGCATGTCCTTACCTGGGACGGGACTCTCACCATCAGCCCACCTGCCCAGGGTCAGAAGGCAGGGAGGACCGCTTCTGAAAGACCGCTGGGGTCTCCCAGCCGTATACATGCTCCCTGTGCAGGAAAGTTGGTTTAAGGACCATGCACAAAATGTGCTTTCACCACCCAGTTGGTGAGGAGACGCTGCTATGTTGCCACACCTGTCCCTGACCTTGGACTTCTCCCAGCTAGGCCTCCAGAAGCTGGTTGGCAGGGTCAGTGCCTACGCTGAGATGGTTCCACAAGCTTCTCTTTGTGAAATGAGTCACTGGCCATCTCCTCTTAGCGGCAGGACAGAGGCTGTGCTCAAATCCTGCTGCTGTCTTTCAGAGGGGAATTTGGGCATCATTTGTGCCATATTTTGCTTTTGTGATGACTCAAGTTTTCTTCCTTTTAATTTTCAAACATAGCATGAGATCCTTATGATTCTGTCCCTTCATATACCTGAAACTAGTTTAATATCTTTATTAAACTAGTGGGAAAGTAAGACAACGACTTTCCCTCCCTCCCTCCCTCTCTCCCTGTTTCCTTCTCTCCCTCTCTCCCTCCCTTCCTCCTTTCTTGCTTCCTTACTTCTTTAATTTCTTCCTTCTCTCTTTTCTTTCATTATTCCTTCTCTCTCTCTTTCCCCCTCTCCTGCCCACCCATCCGCCTTCCTTCCCTCTTTCTCTCTTTCTAAGTAATTGGCTGGAACTCAGCCAAGAGGTCCTTGAATAAAAATTTTGGCATTCGCGCCATCAATGGCCCAGTCATTTTGTCATTTATTCAGAAACATGTATTTCTAGAGCAGCCTATTTTGGATTCAAACATAAGTAAACCCCAGTTTCCATCTAGAAGGGCATTTGCCTTCTAGAAGGAGAGACAGACAGGTAAGCAAGCATGACAGGAAAGTGGAAAGGTGCTTGAAAGGACTCGTAGTGCTGCAGTGAGAGAGACAGCGGGCAGGGAGTCCGCCCCAGGAGGGTGAAGGATGTGGGTTTGCCTGGCAGGGCGCTACCTTTAGAGGAGGTTTAAAAGCCACATAGGAACACTGGTCCCACCACTTCATCATAACCAGAAGCCTGGGATCTCCCAACAGTTCTCAAGGCTGAGCCTGTGACAGCTGTCACTTCAAAGTCCCCTCATTCCCACCCACCTTACTGAGAGTGTGATATTAGCAGTGAGAGTCCTGGGGTTCCCTTCCTCCCAGACCCCAGGCCTCACAGTCAGCTGGATATTCACTGGCAGTTTCTCCCTCTCTCCATCCTACTGTATAGCCCCTTTGTGCCGGAAACCCTCCCCGATTATTCCAGACCCAATGAGTCATCTCCTTCCCCTCTTGCATTCCCTTCCGGGAACACTTTCCCTTTACCCAGATAGAGCCTACTGTTATGTCCAGTCATCTTTGAACATGGCTTCTTGCTCTGGGTGTGTTCCCAGGCTGCTGCAGGGACCATGTCTTACTTAGCTGTAGTCTCTAAAAAGAGCAGACGTTCATATATTTGACTAGTCACCAACTTTCTATACTCTATTGAGGACTGTGCTGGGTATGGAGGGTGGAATGATGATTAAGACCTGCCCTCAAGGAGCTCAGCACACACATACAAATATTGTGCATTTTGATAAAAATATACAGGGTATACAGGGTACATACAAGGTCAGACAATTAAGTTCGTGAACATATCCTAGAAAAAGTGCCGCATACCTCATTGCTAAATGTTTCTATGGTCAGCTGTGAAGTACCTCCCTTGGGAAGCTATGCACCAATGCCAGTGCCTAGTCCACCCTTCCAAGCAATTTTGGAACTCTTTCTGGAATGGCCATCAGAGCTCTTGTCATATTACCCCTGATGTCCTGAATGTCATCAAAATGTCTTCCTTTCAATATTTCCTTTCTCTTCGGGTAAAGAAAGAAGTCATGGGGGCCAGATCAGGTGAGTAGGGAGGGTGTTCCAATACAGTTATTTGTTTACTGGCTAAAAACTCCCTCACAGACAGTGCNCTCACTGATTTCTTCCAGCCCTGGTAATCTATGATTCTGGAACTCGCTTTTTTTTCCCCTTAAAAATCATGTATCATTGCTAGAGGAGAACAGGAAATGGCCTCTCACAGCAACATGACTTGTTTTCACTTTCAGCAGATTGTCACTCACTTAAGGACAGAGAAACCTCAGGACTCAAGGGGGCCACAGCCCTGATTTGAGGAGCCAGACTCATCTTGACCTAACAGCTGCTCAGCGGGTTCGTTCCATCATAGCCCGGATTGGTGAACCTGAGTCAGAAGAGGTATCTCCAGGTAAGAAACAACTGACTTAGGTGATAGCGGAAGCACAGCGATACCCACCATCTTCGGGGCGGGGAGTATGTCGTATGCATGCTTATAGAACACTGGACAGTATTGAGGATGGTCCTTTCACCAGATTTATCATCTTTGATTAGAAGCCATGCCGCCTAACATCACATACATGTAAAAGGGGGAAAAAAGGGACATCATTAGTAATGGACGTGCATTTTAAGGTCACTGTAATTTTGAAATGGTTAACCATCCCTGGGTTCCATAAGTGCATTCTGAGTGGAAGTGTTACCACCTTGAGACTTTTGGCTGTTTAGGCATGAGATAGAGTGGCTTAGAACTATATGCAGGAGGGGAACATATGATAGCTCTAGTTTTAGGTTTGCTTTTTCCTTCCAGAATCGGTTTTGGATTAGGCACAATCAGGGTTCCTTTCTGCCCATACTGGCCATCCCAATTTAGATGAGCAAGGGGAGAAGTTCTTACGCAGCTAATCTGGGATGGGATTTAGGTCTCAGGCAGAGGCCTAGCTGGCAACTCACGCGCTCTAGCATTTTTGGAGACAAATCCAGTTCATGAAGTTGTCATCCAGGAGGGCTTGTGGTGTACAGGCTGCAGGTCACTGTTCCCCTCACCCTCCTTCCCTCGCTGCCAGCATGCTGGTTCTCTTGTCACCACCCTCTTCTCTCACCTCCTCCCAAGCCATTAGAGACACTTTGCTTATTATCTATAAAGAGGGGTCACATCTGTTTGAANTTCCTAGCGTTCATATTTTATTCCCTGTTTCTTTCCACTAATGTGCCTTTCTGCGCGCCTCACTCTTTCATTTTCATGTAATGTAACTGCTTGGAGAGGGAGTATTGCACAGTGGCCTGCATTCAAATCTTGGCTCTCCCACTCAAACACTGAATCCCCTGGGCAAGTGCCTCAGTTTCCTCCTCTGTAAAAGGGGGCGAGAACAATGCCTGATGCACAGCAGGCGCTTGGTGAATGGGAACTATTGTGTTATCTAAAATCCTGCCCGTTGGTGTTTCGTCATGCTGGCCCGTGTGCTTGGTGCTGAGGGGAAGAGGCCATGCTGAGGTTTCCAGGCTCAGAGAGTCTGGCGCTGCTGCTGGTTAGCGGGGACTTGGAACAAGCTTCCTCCACCTTGGGCTGTAGGTTTCCTCCCTGCTCAGCCTGGAGGCTGGGAACGTGCTCTGCCAAGCCCCTTAGTTCTCTCAACATCCATCTTGCCTTCTCTTCAGTTTGCCCCTGCTCTGCCCTCCCACTTCCAGAACCTTCAAAAATGGAAGACACGCAGCTGTTCTAAGCTATTCCTCAGCCCCTCCACTGAATGGGGGTAGGGGTGGGGCCCATGATGTAGTGAAAAGGTCACAGGTCAGTAGACTAGATATGAGGAGATGCCTATTCTCATTCCAGTTCTGTTGTGTCACCCTGGATAAGTCATTTCATGTCTCTGGATTTCAGCCTCCCCCTTTATATGGGATAATTACCCCTCTGCTTTGTACCTCATTTAAAATGACTGAAGAAGACAAGATATTGAAAAGCGTTTTGCTTGGCTGCCAGATGCTATAGAAGTGTGGGCTCCTGATGGTCTCAGGTGGTGTCAGTCCCCTCTGTGCAGCAGAGGGACTGTGACAGCAGCTCTGGCCGTCCACAGCTGCTGGCGACGGAAGCAAATTAGTATTGATGTCGTGTGAGGTTGTGCTGCTTGTGGGGGCCCAAGATGGGAGCTGTAAGCGTCTCTCCCTGTTTGATCTCTGTTTTCTCTGATGGGCATCTGGCCCGTGGGTGACTCAAACAGGAAACCACTAGCCATCAGTTCAAAAAGCTTGAACTCCTCTCAAAGACGTGCTTACTTTTTGTCACTCTGTGTTTGTTTGGATGATGGGGGAATAATTTACAAAATCAGGGGCAGGTCCTCCCTAGTAGGTCCTCTGTGACGGAATCTATAAGATGGGAGGAAGTGGGATATCCTGAGGCTTGGGTTAGGATCCAAGTTATACAAATGCGAGTCCAGGGACCAGAGCCAGGCTGGTGACATCAACACTCGCCAGAAGTTTGGCCCCTGCGCCAGATGGGGACTGCACTGTTTTGTTAGCTTCTCCAAATATACAGCCAGTTTAGGGAACCCCTGGACTGGGTAGGACTGGTATCTAAGGGCTTGCCTGTTAGGGGCTGTGTACTCCCTGCCTCTGTCTGGTACCCATCAGGAGGCTGTAAAGTATGATTGGTCTTGGCATTAAAGGACGACTAGGTTATTATTAGGGTTATCTCTCTGTGTGGTTGTTCAACTTAGCAGGCGATGGCCATCCTGAACGATTCCCCCTGGGAGTTAGGGAACTTGTCTGTAAACAAATAGACAGGACAAAATGGATAGGACTAGATCCAGGAAGTACCTCCGAGTCACGATTGGAGGAGTCACCATTCTACTTGCCTGGCTATTTTAGTTTTGTGGTAGAAGAAAGCTGAGTTCAGTGGAGTGAATCAAGTTCCAATCATATACACGACAAGGAGTTATCATTTTCAAAGTGTTTGAAAAGGAAAACGGGGATGGGATGGCACCCTCTGATACCCGATCACTTCAACAGCCTCTCTCTTCTCTGCAGGTCTCTCTGCGGCACACCTGGCTTCTCAGCCACAGCCAAGAGGTGAGCAATGTGGTCCTACCACAGGGTTCTTCTTTGGAAATGTGCCTTGCACA